TTTGGTGGGGTGGGAGCCGATATCTAAATCGGGCTAATCATTAAAAATGAAAAATCATAGGGGACAGACCGTAGTTTGTATGTGTGTGTGACATTTACTTTCTATTAGGGTTTCTCTCCTTTAAAAAAAATTTTTTTTTTTTTAAAGAATAATCAATCAAGAAAATTCGGTCGGAAATGGGCAAGGAAAAAAAACGGAAAAACGAAAATAATTAAGGAACAATAGAAAACCCCAAACAGGGTGAAAAAAAAAATCGCCCAACGTGGGGCTCGAACCCACGACCCTGAGATTAAGAGTCTCATGCTCTACCGACTGAGCTAGCCGGGCACTGACGGTTACACGTCAAACAAACTATATAACCCAGGTGTATTTTGAGAAGCTTTCTGTTTGTGAATCAATTATTGCGCGTGAAAACTTGACACGTTTTTCCCTTGCGAGGTCAAATATAAAACTATACCAGCCTTTGCAAATATATTTCATGTTAAGTATATAAATAAATCCGCATATTTAATCTTTTCGTTTTTCTGATGTTTTCTCGTAGTCCCCAACCGACTCCAACTGTCACTCACGGTTAAAACGGTATTACTCTATATTCATCCAATTCAGCCTTGGTAAATCATGATAAGGAAGGAAATTGTAATCAAAACTGTACTCAATGTCATTTTCCTCCCCCTCGAAATAAAATTTAGTTCACTGCAAGCGCAAGCTAACACAAAGACCAGAGAGACAGTTTGAAGGTAAAGGGAGGGAATCATTTGATATTTTAAAACGTAGATTAGACAGGGGTTGCAAGTTTTGATCGTCTCCCTTCGCTTTCCAAAACTTGTACAATAGGCCCGTGTAGTTTTGCACTTGTTGTGTAGTAAATCAAGAGCTGCTGCTGTTATTACAGCTGCTGTTTGTTTCCAGGCTGTACATATTTGCTCTCTGATGTCTTTTTGTAATTTTCTTTCTGGTCTTCCTTTTGATTTAATACAATGTTGTTGATCTCCACTGAGAACAAAATCTTTTTGTTTTCATACTTTGTCTTTCACTCTGCTGATGTGGTCAGCCCAATTCCATTCTTTTTAGGAATATACATTTGCTCACTCCGGTTTTCTCTTGTATTTTTGTGTGGTTTATCTGATATTGTATTCTTGTGCACATCATCTTCAATTTCCATTGCTTTTTCGTGTTGTTCTGGGTTTCTGAGAAAAAAAAAATTCTGGTTATTGGCCAGGTTTGGCACCCATAGCTTATTGGTGGGACAAGGTAGGCTACTAATTAACGACCCGTCTTTTCTTAGAGATCGGCAGATTTTGATCTTTAAATATTTCCCTGTATTATTAAAAAAGCAACTCCAAGCCATATGTGGCCTATCTGTTGTTCACCTCATTGAAAAATAATTTTGTTCTCTCATGTATACAGCATACTTATTATTTTGCCAAAATATTTATACATTGTATTGTCACTTTCTCTATGTACTTTTGTGTTCTATAGCAATGGTTTTGTCAAAGGTGTATTTCGTTATACGTATTTGTTTTTATCTTTGTCAACCTCAAGGCCTACCTTTATATATTTATAGCCTTCATTTGTCGCTGGTGTCATTCGAGAGAGTTCATGTATTTGGTTTTTATCTTTTGTGGGTGTTAGCCTCATTTTTAG